CGGCCCCCAGTCCCACCAGCATCGGGGGGGGGGGGGGGGGGGGGTACTCACGTAAAGACATGGGGAGTGTGCATGTACTCATGAAAACATAATGTAAAGCGATATGTATCCCTGGTTTTCACACCCTCAGGCGTGGATGGGCGCGCGCGTGGCACATAAAAACGCACGCGGGGCGTACTCAAGCCAACGCATGCCGCAGTCACTAGAACATCGACCTCGCGTGATGCCGGGCCAAGGCTGCCGTAAATGTCGGAGAGATGGCACCTCCGTGTTAAGCGTGTTTTTCATTTGGCGTATTTCTGCACAACCAGGGGGTTACCACTGCCGATAAGGACAGTCTTGGAAACATGTCGTCGAGGGCTTTCCTGAGAGGTGTCGGTTGGTGTTCGCACCCTCCTGGTTATGGAGAAACACGCTATAGAAAAACGCTGACACGGGGGTGCCATCTCTCCGACTCTGACTAGTCTGATCAGCCGCTGACTAGTCTAAAAGTTTCACTTCGGCTTCTACAAAAGGTAGTCGCTGACTGGTCGAATGGTTTGATTTCGGATTCTACAAAAGTTAGCCGCTGACAAGGTAGTCAAATGGTGTCGGTTCGGCGTTAATATCATCACACAGCAGCAGAAGCAGGCTCTCACGCACCTCTCCCTGCAGCAAGATGGTGCGGCTGCGGTACCGCTCCTGGTCCGCCACCGCCGCCGCTTCTCGGTCAAGCAGCTCCCTTCGCTCCCGCATGTGCGCCGCCTCCGCTCTCGTCAGCTCTCGCTCCATCTCGGCAAGGCTGGCCTCGAGCTTCACCATCTCGTCTGTGTACCTAGCCGCAAAAAACAAGCAGTGACGCACGACGTCCAGTGGGTTAGGTTTCCAGTTCCACCACTTTCGGTGTCGGGGCCTTTTACGGAATACCACGGTACGGTATACGGTACGGTACAGACAAGCTTGGTTGTGGAGAAAATCGAGCTTTGAAAATTGCTCTAACGGGGTGCCATCTCTCCGCCTCCTACGGTACCTGCACGCAAAACAAAAGAAACAAAGAAACATGACGAGGCACCACACCGTCCACTCGTCCTATTTCGTAGAATTAGTCATTTCGTTTGTACATAAATAATTTCGACGTAACTAGGGCTAGATACCTTAGGTTGAAATTCATTTCGTAGATTTGTTGGGTATTGTAAATTTCACAGATTTTATAGATTTCGTAGATGAAACTGATACCTGGAGCGCAGGCTGTCGGCGTACACGTTGAGGTCGGAGAGAGCCTTCTGATTGGCCAGCAGGTCGCCCCTCAGGCTGTCCCCCTCCTTCTGGGCCATCGCTAGTTCCTGGTTCGGTTCGAGTGGTTGGAAAGCAACACGATGGAAAATATATGTCGGGAGCACAGCAACAACAACAGCAACACCCAAAGGATCATCATCATCATTATCAGCAGCAGCAGTGTTGGCCGTACAGTCCACGGAACCGTTTCTAGACCACCTCTGCACAAAACGAACTCGCAACACACTCGAGAACCCCTTGGGGTTACGTGGAAATTCAGGGCAAAAACAGATAAACTTAAGGATCGCAAGAGTAGCAAGATGCTGCCCCCTTGAAAGAATGCAGCAGCACCATTAGTTATCCGCTGCATCCATAAATATAAGAGGGAAATGGATGGCGCTAAACCCTTCTCGCGACAAAAAACCAAGGTTGTAAAGAAAAAGGTGGGGCAGTAAAAAAAAAAAAAGGAAGACATAATCCTGAGCTTCCTCTTGGTCGACCCCGGCTGATACGTCAGGAATATATGTACCCCCGAAAGGCCTGTTAACCGGCGCAAGATTAGCTGGGACAAACACACACATACACACACACATTGTGCCGCCGCACTGAAGACCGACGTCTTTTCATTGGTCAGTCAATCAGCGCGGTCGATTCGATTCTAACAAAAAAGACACACACGCATGTGCACGAGGTTTCTCTTCGTATTTGTACATGTTCCATATTTAGGTGGTACCGTACCGTAGGATTATGGGCAAAATACCTGTTCTTATGGAAGTCCACGGTGTTTTTCGAGTTATACACTATTTCGGGTATACCCCATTTATGTAGGGGGGGGAAAGGGTACCATTTAGTTGTAAACTCTGAAGTTCTTATCTCCGAGGTCCTCCATTCTGTGTGATATCACTACAGGCCACAAGCCTGCAGAGGAAAACAAAAAAAAAGGTACAGGATGTAAAGGAAAAATAAAAGGAATACTGTATATGCCTACCTTGGCAACAGGCCTAAGAAGAGAAGCAAACAAAAAAGTACTTACGCATGCCTCGGGAACAGGCTGCTGAGGAGCCAAAAAAGAAAAATAGAGGTTGCTACATTAATGGTGCATATGCCTACCTCAGCAAAAGGCTGGCGAGGAAAAAAAAATACAGTTTTCAAAAAAGCACGTATGCATGCCTCGGCAACAGCTGCAGACGAGACATACAAAAGGTACAGGTTGCTAAAATAAAGGTGCATATGCCTACCTCAGCAACAGGCTGGTGAGGAAACAAAAAAAGGACAGGCTGCAAAAAAAAGGTGCAGGATTCAAGCACATGAAACAAAAAAAGGTGTATATGCCTACCTCGGCGACAGGCTACAGAGGAGCCAAAAAAAGGACGGGTTGCAAAAAAAAGGTGGAGGATGCAAGCAAATGAAACAAAAAAGGTGCATATGTTTACCTCAGCGAGGACTTTCTCTCTTGTCCTGAGGGCATCGCACTCCCCTCTCGCCTCCTTCAGCATCGCCCCAAGCTCCCTGGAAAGAAAAAGAATTACAATAAATAGACACACTGTGCTCAAGATGGCCCACGGCTGACAACCGACAAAAAACTCCCCCAGCAATACATGTAAATAGCGTGGAGGACGATTGTATAGGGTACGAAAACGGCGCAGCTGCTGCCGCACGTGTGCAACTAGCTGCCTTGTATGTTTATTTGTGTACTCAATTTCAGTGTACATTTGGCATGGTATCAGATATTTTCAAGGTTTTTAACAACAACAACAGCAGCAATAACAACACAGCCAGCCTTGCTTTGCAATGATAATGACCTCCGTTTGGATCCAGCAGTACCGACGTTTTCACTAGCCTTAAAAGAGGGAGGGACCTCTGCTGAATGAGACAATGTGAATATTCCATCTGTGCCAAGCGATTCTTACCGGCCTTAAACAGGGCAACCGGCCATATATAAGCGGCCGTAAACAGGGACATCTACTCTACTTAAACAGGGCAACCGGCCACAAATAAGCGACCTCAAACAGGGACATCTACTCTACTTAAACAGGGCAACCGGTCTTCAATGAATTGCCAAAAAAAAAGGGGGACATGTACTCTACATAAACAGTAGATACCTTAGCTTGGACTGGCCTCGCCCCCCAGTGAGCACCCTGAGCTCCTTCACCTCCAGCTCACGCTCCTTAAGCCTTTCACGGAGCCCCGCGATCTGGCCCTGGGGTGAAGGGGGAGGAATAGGGGGGGGGGGGATCACACTTTGAGAATTTCGCGGAGCCCCGCGATCTGGCCATGGGGTGAAGGGGGAAGAATAGCGGGGGGGATCATTTTTTGAATATTTCGCGGAGCGCTGCGATCTGACCCTGGGGTGAAGGAGGAGGAATAGGGGGGGGATCATTTTTTGAATATTTCGCGGAGCGCTGCGATCTGGCCCTGGGGCGAAGGGGGAGGAAAAGGGGGGGGGTTCATACTTTGAGTATTTCGCGGAGCCCCGCGATCTGGCCCTGGGGTGAAGGGGGAAGAATAACGGGGGGGGTCATTTATTGAATATTTCGCGGAGCGCGACCTGGCCCTGAGGTGAAGGGGGAGGAATAGGGGGGGGGATCATACTTTGAGTGTTTCGCGGAGCCCCGCGATCTGGCCCTGGGCTGAAGGGGGAGGAATAGCGGGGGGGGTCATTTATTGAATATTTCGACGGAGCCCTGCGATCTAGCTGTGGGGTGAAGGAGGAGGAGAGCGGGTCAGTTGTTGAGTATCTCGCGGAGCCCCGCGATCTTGCCTTGCGTTCAAGCAGCGGCGACGAAAAAATCTTGTACAACAGCGAGTTCAGACAGGACTTGAACAAATTACCACCTGCAGCAGCAAACGAACCAATCTTGCACAGCAGCGAGTTGACAAAGACTTGACGCAGTAACTAACAAATATATTTTGTAGTGTTGAGACAGAGTAGGCGCACAAAGCAGCAGCAACGAACCAATCTCGCACACTTTAACTGCGACAGGCTTGGCTCACAAAACTACCACGCACGTACAGCAGCAAACGAACCAATGTTGCACACTGCGTTGGGCCAGACCTGCAGCAGCAGCGAGCGAATCTTGTACATGTCTCTCTTCCTCCCCCGCGCCTGTTCCGTCTCCTCCTCCTCCTTGTCTGCCTGCTCTGTTGCCGAAGCCTCGCCGCCTGAGACTCCCGCCTCCGCCACTGAGACCCTCCCCCCCACCCCTGCCTGTTCCGTCTCCTCCTCCTCCTTGGCATCTTCTTGCCCTTTCTTCAACTCATATTCCTTTCCCTCCATCACCTTTGACTTCGTCTGGGTCATTTCCTAGTAATCGACAATGCGGAAGGGGAACCAGGCCGACGGGGGGGGGGGGGGGGGGGGGGGGCCCCCCCAAATTTTTTTTTTTTTTGGGGGCCCTACTGGGGAAAAAAAACCCCCTTTTTTTTTTTTTTCCCCCCCCACCCCCCAAAAATTTTTTTGGGAGGGAGAAATTTTTTTTTAAAAACAAAAACGGGAAACCCCCCCCCCCCCGGGGGGTTGGGGGCCCCCCTTTTTTTTTTTTTTTTTCCCCAAAAAAAATTCCCCAAAAAAGGGTTTAAAAACCCCAAAAAAATTTTTAAAAGGTTTTTTTTTTTTCCCCCTTTTAAGGGAAAAAAACCAAAAATTTTCCCCAAAAAATTTTTTCCCCCCAAAAAAAAAAAAAAAAAAAAAAACTTTTTTTTTGGCCCCACCCCCGGGGGGCCCTTTTTGAAAAAACCCCCCCAAAAAAAAAAATTTTTAAAAACCCCGGGTTTTTTAACCCCCCCCCAAAAAAAACCCCCCCCCCCTTGAAAAAAAACCCCCCCCCCTCCCCCTTTTTAAAAAAAAAACCCCGGCCCGAAAAAAAAACCCAAACCCCCCCCCCCCCTTTTTTTAAAATTCTAA